AAAAAATTTTTTTTGAAATTTAAAAAAAAAAAAAAGAGAGGTAGGAACACGTTTAGAAAAACGCAATTTATAAAATTTTTCATTCCATCGCATTCATACCTTTCGTAGTACTTACTAATAATATAAAAAATTAAATTTACGCAAGTTTGATTATAATAATTACAATTAATATTCATGTAAACCGAATGTAAAATCCAAAAAAATGATCTAATAGTAATTTTTAAATCAGTAATTAACTAAATTTTTTTTTGTATTTTAATATTTGAATTTTGTTGATATGAATGGATGTTTATTAGCGTCACTGCTAATCACATATGTATGTTATTATTTATTCGCTATACCAGTACGTATATCAGTACTTATATTTAGGATAGCTGACTGTGACAAAAATTGAAGTTATTTTGTCTTGGAAATAGATGTCTTTTCCTATTATTAAATTTATCTCATCCATTTCATTTCACATTTATTTCATTAATCTAAATACTTACAACTTATTTAAAAAATAAAAATAAACCTAATTTAAAAAACAAAAATCTAGAGGTAGAAATTACAGGAAAACATACCCGCGAAGTTTCCTAGGAACATCGCATCCTTGTTTCGATAGATTTTCATTAATGATATAAAAGTTGAATTTACATAACAATTTAGACTAACTGCGTTAGTATTCGCAATATCATTTCAATATGTATCTGAACAAGGAAAAACGACATAAGGCGGCGCGGATATAATATCTAAATCGTACGATGTTTTATCGCACTTTTGATTTGTCACAATTTCTAAGGTAACTTAGAGTCGCGATCGGCGACATTTTTCGTAATCACGTGTTACGTATGGGGATGAGAGTAACGAAACTTTTTCTCCCTAACATAGTAGGAATCTAATTATATAATATGTACAGACTATATGCAAAGATTTTTATACATATTTATATATATAACACATACCTCCAACAATCTCATCGTTTTTATTTGTCCTTCGGTGTCTCGCGACACCGTTTTCTGCGCTGCTTCAGCTAGCTCGCGGTATTATTGTTGTTCTTTGATGGCCCCTCAGATTTGCTTCCCTCCATCCAGCCTTGTAGCTTATTGATAATTGTTTGCATCATTCTCACGTTCTCGAAGGTGAAGTACGGTGATCCATATTCTTTTAACCATTTCTCGAGCGCTTGTGCCTGATTAAGGGCCGTATCGATACCGACCGGAATACCATTTGGCCGATTTTCGTTTTCATTGCGCGTACTCTTATTTTGTTGCAGTGCTTCTTCTAACCTTTTTTTCCTCTCTAATAATCCATTTTCTTCGGCTTTCATCAGGATCGTTGCGCACAATCTCTGATAAGCTTGCGTAAGGATTTCAGAAAGAGTGGTTTGTTGTTGGTGAATTTGTTGCGCATGAAATTGCTGCATTAGATCTTCGTAAGGTCTATTCTCTGAGCGAGGCCTGCTGGTTGACGACTCAATCATACTGCCATTAGTTACCCCTGACGCCATTGGAGTTGTCGATCTCTCTGTTCCATCAACAACAGATGCTATATTGGCATGTTTTCTATTAGAACTCAATACTTGTCGTGTGGCGCTATGCTTTCTTTTATTTTCGTTATTTACGCCATTTAAGACCACATTATTGGCCATAATCTGACTGCCGGTAACCGGATTGCTAACCATATTGGAAACCATGCTGGAAACCACACCATTATTTCTCGTATACTGTAAACCATTTTGAGAGTTCAAAAGATTCAAGTTGAAGGCGTTGTAGAACGCCGAATTTTGTTGGAGTATTCTAGCGGTTTCAGGATTGGAATTTATAACATTCATAAGTCGTTGATAGTGTAAGGTGGTGCTTAAATCGCCGTTGTAGGGAAGCCCGTGAGCCTGCGACGATGTGTTAACCATCAAATTAGACATCGAATTGGTAACGACGGGTGTCGTGCAGTTATCCACCAGTTTCGCTCGCTTCGCAGGTGGGAGAATTTCTGCGTCGTCGTTGGATGTTTCTCTCATAACAAGATTCGCCACTCCGGTTATTACATTACCATTCGTAGGCGGTGAACGCGACGATCCCGATCTAAGTGAACTCCTGTCGTCGTCCGATCCGGACTCGATCGGTTGAATCGATCCCTCGAAGCTACTCGATTGATTTTTTGCTTGACTAAATAACTTGTGCTGCGCTTTGCACCATCCTCGCAGAGTCGACTCCGGCACGCCGATGTCGCGTGCCACCGACGCTTTCGATTCTCCATCGTGAACTCTTTTAATCGCGTTTACCTTCTCCTGAGCGCTGAGCGGCTTTATAGGACGTTTGCCCGCTTGCCGCGGAATTGTCTCGTTGCGCGGCATGATGTTCTCGTAAGATTGAAGCTCACCTATTTTTGTTACGCGATACCCGGCACTCTGCCGCAGCTGTCGGCGATCCCGCGTACCTCGCCCCTGGGTGAGGTCCACGGCGTGGCCTTGGCAAGCGTCAAGCCTTGATAAATCCAGGTTGACTAATCTGGCGATAACCCTCTTGACCCACTATCTTCCCCACGATCTTCCACGATGACAGGTACCGGTGATGGCACCGATGATAGTCGATTTGACAATCACACCATTCGATAAATCCGTCTGTTGAAACACGTCTCTAAACTCGTGCGCACACGCGAAGAACTCCGTTCGCAACGTCCGTTCCGGCGCGATAAATGTACACGGAGCAGTTGGCGTCCTGCTGAAAAGAGATTCCGATGGCGACTGGCACGAATAGAACAAGCGACCGATCCGTACGCCACGCTGTCGGTGCGGCGTATGGCGCCGATTCGTATCTCGCACAGTAGTAAATAATGCCGTGTGTAAACGTGGTTACGCCGGCCGGGGGAGTAGTAGTAGTCGGTCCTCCTCCGTGGTGGAATAGCACATGCGCTCACAGAGAGTAATAAAGAACTTTTTTATGAATGAAACAAGTCGGTCGGTCGGTCGGCTACAACCACCACCTCTTCTCCCTGTCCCTCTTCCCTCTCACCCTTCCCCCTCTTCTCTGTAGCGCGTCACGCTGCTGCCCTCCGTTGAAGCAAAGCACCGCTGTTGCTGCTGGCTCCTGGCTCCACTGCACCTTGCCGTTCTTCCGCTCTTCCGCTCTTCTCTCCCTGGCACACCTCTCTCGTCGACGGCGCTAGTGCGAGTAAAATGGAGCGCGTTGCTTCACCTCCTCTCACTCCGCGGTTGTGGCTGCATCAGCCAATCCGCAGTGCGCGCGGGAAACGATATTATTACTGTACCACGAGGAATAGCGTGGCCGGGGTGGGTAGCTGAAGCAAGACAGACGTACCGAGAGAAATCGAGACGGCAATAGCACACACGGTGCGACGAGAGGTCGCGTACCGGCCTGAAGATCAGTTTTCGCCCCGGCGCGCTCGTCGTCGTCGAAAACTGCTTTTCCTCGTCCGAATTCGCGCACGAAATCGCACGTAACGCCAACGTATCTACGTGTGTCTCTTCGCGTCTTCCTTTTTTTCCTTCCGTCCGTGCGCGTTGCTGCACCGTGGAAGCACTCAACGGTCGCACAAGCGCGCGTCGTACGTGCGAGAGTCCGCGATAGAGCACGAAAGTATGAAAAAAAAGTATATGAGTTTTTTACCTAATGTCGCGTTGTCGTATCCAATGGTGCACACGGTCGAAAACGATGAGAAGCTCGACCACGAGAACAAATTCGGAGCACCGTTCGACGCTATTGAAACCGTTCGAAACCGTTAAAGCTGCCGATCGCTACCTGAACTAGTTGCTCTCACCGACCAAGAAACACTGACCGAAGAAAATTGATCGACAGCTACGACTGCCGTTGCTTTTAGAACGCTGCTCAAACTGCGCGATGGTTTCGACAAACCATGACAACCTTGTCAACTCTTCGACGATCGCAACCCGATGCACACCGTGCTACAAATGATTTTAGTTTATTCTTTGGGTTCATTATAAAGCAATTAACAATACGCCGTTCAGTATCTATACACCGCACTACTCTCTTCTGAGAAAGCTAACAGTCGGTAAAGCCTACGTGTGTCGTACTAACGAGATGCACCGCTTGCTTCGAAATGATGTTCGTGCTAGGCAACGACTCACTAGCTACTGGACGAAACCTCCCTTCCATGAATTCTGTCCCTTCCATGCGCTGCGCCGCGATTTGCTCGCCCACTCCTACTCGAGCCCCTACTCCTGGGTATTCTCCCTCCCCCCCTTCCCCTTAGTGTTTCCACCCGCCCTTTTTCCTCTTTGTTCTTCCCTGGCACCTCTCTTCTTTCTCTTGCTTCGTCCAAAAATCCTTTGACCACGTTGTCACGAATCACGAAAATATTTGGTGGAACTCTTAATTCATAATACAGATTTATCAATTAAAGGTATGAAAAAAATTTATTTTTTAATTAAAAAATTAACAAATTGTTAAAATTTTTTTTTGGACATTCAAATATCTGCAAATCGCAAAAAAAATCATGGACTTAATAGCAATTTGAAAAAATGTGCATCGTAAACTTAATAGTTGTAATAATTATATAGATTCTATCAAATTGATATTATGTACGTGCAAAAAAAATATCGGTTTCTTAAATTTATGCTTGTGATAGAGAAATCTACATCGATCACATCGATTTTTTATCATAGACTCATTACTTGATTTATTCTTTTTTTGTTGTTGAAATATTTATCAATTATTCAATACACCCTACATTTTATGTAACAGATAACTTAAAGATCAATCATAAATAATTTCTTCAGATTTTTGACACATTTTTGCCAAAATAAAAATGTAGAAAGAACAACAAATGCGTCTTCGTCGTAGCGCGAACAGGCCTTTGCTTTCATTTTGCATAATGATAGAATTTCGCAATATTTATAATATTTACCGAGAGCTGCTGGTCTTCTGTGTGAAATATGAAAACCAGAGAGAGAGAGAGCGAGAGAAAGAGAGAAAGCGACAGAGAATGTGCAAGCAGCAAAACCCTTAAATCCTCCCTGCCGTCTCTGTCGGCAAACCTCGCGGGAGAAAACCGGATTTACGAGTGCACGGCCTAAAATCCGTACGAGCATTTGAGATGCGGAGTTACATGCGCGGCCCAGCATGCTGTAAGGTCCCCGTCGTCTCTCTCTTTCTCTCTCTCTCCCTCTCTCCCTCTCTCTCTCTGTAATTCGCGGATAAATTTTGCCGCGAGTATCGTTGCCGTCGTCGCCGCATCACGATATTTACCGCTCGCGCTCGAATACGCGACAAGTGTTGTATTTATTACGCGCCGATATCGCGACTTCGTTGACGATACACGCGCACAAGGACCGACCGCATTTCGTCACGTATACCGGCTCGTTTTTCACCACACGGCACAGCACGGTGAAAGGCAGGGGGGAGAGGAAAAGAGGCAGAAACGCCCTGGTCTCGATAAACGCAACGACCGACGCGTTAAGGGTTTCCTTGACTTTACATACCTGCTAAAATCTCGGAACAAAAATCATTCAAAAAAAATTTTTTCCACATTCTTCTTCATATACTCCAATGTGAATTGTGATCTCTTTATAATCGTACGAAATCAGCTAAGTGCTTTAGCACGTACAACTGCGCTTGGCAGAATGTTCCAGAATTGGAAATTTTATTGAATTAACTCGTAATAAATACAATTTTGGTGGACTGCAATAAAAGAGATGATTTGATTTTTAGTTCGTGATGTTAATATCGGAACGTAGTGCGAGGATAAATTTTCTTTTTCAACGAGGCCGTGGCTCGGGTGAGACACCGTTCGTATCTCGTGTGTGGCTTGTGTATCGCGGAGAGTAGCTGACCCCAAGTTTCAGCGTGAAATATACGCGCACACGCGTTGGTTGGTTATGGCGTTGCTAAGAGCGCGACAGCGACAAAAATATGATTTCGCGGATAAGGCGGTCGGTTCGACGGCGCGCGCGCTGACGCGGACGCGGGTTCAACCTACGATTAACGAATCGAGTCTCGCGCGCGCTATACTACGCCGCGGGAGGCGCGAGGAAGCGTCACGCTCGAGGGGAACCGATAGGCGGAAGGGGCGGAGGGGGCAACAGGAAGGCGACTACGACGCCGGGAGGAAAATCGATCGATGGCGTCCTGTGTTATAGGACGCGCGAAGGCGCACACTTTGCACGCCGTCGCGGGTAGACGCAAGTGATGAGAGGCTGCATGTTCCACGAACTCGAAGCGGAGCGGAGTCGGCGACCTGTACAATTAATTTTCACCTGCTTCTGCTCGGCGAGAGCGGAGTCGAACGAGCAATGTCGAGTCGCGCCCGTCGTTGTCGTCCGGTTCGCTTGCCTTTCGCGGAAGGATGTGCACACGTGAGCGCGGACGCGAATGCTCGCTCACACATGTGTGCCGAGACCGCGTCGGGACTGTATATGACACACACATGTGACACACACGGCAACGCGCCGGCTATTTGCGCGACATGTGTGCCGCCGCGTCGCGTCGCGGCCCGAGTTAACGGTCGTTCGCTATCGCTCCTTCGAAGCTGCCGCTGCCCGCACGATAATATCGATAAACGGGCTCTCCGGGCGAGAGTCCAGCACGGCGTCTCGTCGTCGCCGATACTCGCGTTTGGACTGTTCTTTCTCGTAAGCATTAGTGAAGCGGCTCGATATCTTTTCTAATGATTAGTCATCGCGGAGATAATGTCCAAAAAATTGTGACGGCTGAAAAAATACATAAATTACGAGATTTAAGAGTAAACGTCGGAAAAAAAGAAAAAGATCTACAATTATTCAGAAAATCAATACAAAATCCATGTTAAAAACAAGACAGATATGATGATAAACGAGATGTTAAAAACAAGATAGATACAAATTTTGTTTGACCTTTAGATCGCCTCGCCAACATATTCCCAATTCTTCAGTATTCGGAAAGAACTTTGAAGGAGTATGTATTTAGAAAGAAAAAAAACTCCAACAAACTCGCGCGTTATGGAGACGACGTTGTAATTTTTGAATTTCTCCACACGATTTCCATCTGTAAATTTGACGATCTATTGATTGAGAATCAGTGAAGCTCGCGCTAATTTTACCGCAATTCTTTACGTGAAAAATACACGCATTACTCATTGCCAGCTATTGTTGTCGATGTCACCAACAAAGACGAATGTCACGTTCGCGTCACGTGCAGCTCAGATAGAATTCAGTCTGCGCGAAAACGGTGAGAAGCGAAACGGTAGAGAAGGAGAGAAAGAAGGGAAGGTCGAGATAGTTGGTCGGTGAAGAGTTAAGTTCATTCATAAAAAAGAAAATTATTACGAGCGGTGAAGGAGCGCGACTCCCGCAAAGTGAATGATACCTCCTGCTACTCTTACTTCTCTGAATTCCCTTCCCCACCCCTTTCCATCCCCCGCATGCCGCCCTCTCAGACTCCTGAACGACGATTACCCCCACGCTGCAACCTACGCCCCGCGCTGCACCGTCCTTGCAACCGTGAAAGATCTTTCTCGTGATAAACCTCGATCCTTTTCCCATCTTCTGTGAATCATTTCTCTCTCGCTCTCCCGAGTCGTCGGCGCGCGCTGATAGGAAATCCTGTGAAACTTTGACCTCGTCTCTCGTCCCGCAACTTCTTCGAATAACATCGGGATTAATAACCGCCGGAAGGGCACTGGTTGCTGCTGTACAACTCGGAAAAGAGTTGACGTGATCGAATGTGATCGGGCTCGATATATTAATCGGGTGAGAGTGAGCGTTCGCAGATCTGCGAGCCAGAAGTGGCTAACCATCCTCGACCCGTTGACCCCTAAAGTTTGCAAAGCGAGAATTCACATTTCGTGAATGGAGTGACTCATGAATGTATATCTCAGTGTCTCTCACCTTGCGGAGGATTCCGTGTTAGAGTTTATGCCGCATATATTCGGACGCATGCAAATTGTTCTGCTATGAAATGATTTGAGATTCAATTAATTGTATTTAATTTTTGGAAATGATATAGAGAGATTTAATGTAAAGGTATCCCGTAACTAATAATGTAAATAGAATTATTTTATTTGTGTGGAAACTCATAAATAATTAAGAATTCTGGCTTTATTTTCAACAGTCCTAGAGTTCTTGATAGTTTAAACAAATTCTGGCCATTAAACCAACAAAAATGCCTCAGGACAAACTAAGACACCAACTTCACGCAGCGTCTCACTTTGTCCTACAATATTTTCTTTATCAATAATTGTTAGAATGTAAAAAATTTATAGTTCTACAAGAGAGAATTCTAAGAGAGAATTTTTGTAAGTAAGATAATATCCAATAAAATTGCCAATGAAAACTATAAACTAAAAGGTAATTTAAATGACAGCCTATAGCTACAGTATTATTGCGTTAATGGATTCATAACATCATTAAAGCATCAAAATTACACACACAAAAGTATTACGTATTAATTTCATAATTTATAAATACGATATATTGACAGTAGAGCTGGAAGGCAATAGAATTTTATTACTGTCTAAGTCTATGAGGACACGAAATCTTTAAAAAAAAACCCCCTGCTCTCAGAAAACCCCCTGCCTGCGGATGGTGCTTACTCTAATCGGCAT